GTAGAGAAGCGAAGCAAGGAGGGGGGGGCCAGCTCTCTTGGCCAAGGTTGTCTCGAAAACAAGGCCGGCCCGGCCAGAAATAGCCGCCCCATCTTTTATCGGTGGCCGGGTGCCCAAACCACACCGCTGCCATTTGCCTCCCGGATAAGAGCGATTGCAAGATTGCAAGATTGGGGAGCGGCCCGTCCTGGAAAAAGAATCTGTGCCTCCCCAGGACCCTTGGCGTTTGTTTATCCATCGCTGCCTCAGGGTTCCCTAAAAAGTCCAATGAAGGTTCTTGACAAAAGCAAAGAATGGCCACCTCAGTTTTGGGGGGGGGCAGCAGAAACGGAAACCGGCGCTTGCAGATTTGATTCTGGCAACGATGGCGAGATTCTGTGCTTCTTTTTCTCAGCCTGCAGGTCCAGTTCTCGGCATGCAAGATTTGGCCCCGAGGGAGGGAAGGTGGCTTTTGTCAAGGGGCCTCAACTTCTGGAAAACCCCCCCCACACACACACCTGCTGTAACCTGGGCTGGCAGGGGGATGATGGGGTTTGGGGTCCTGCTCAAGGTAACATGGGCAAGCTCACACAGACCAGGTGGAAGGGAAACGGTCAAGGTTATTCTCGACCTGCAGGGTTTCCCTCCAACCTGGGGCAATCTGCAGGACCGCCGACCCGTGTCTTCCATTCAGACGTGCCTGCGCGGGGATTCCAAGGAAGCGGGAAGAGGCCCGCGATGATCTTGGGTCCCCGGGCCGGCCGGGCTGCCTTCGGGGCGCCTCTGGCGGGCAGGCCGGGACAGACAGACTTTGCGCAAGGAGGCGCCGCGCCTTCCTGGGGTTTTCCCCCGGGGCTCGGGAGCTGCGGCAAAGTGATTTGAGAGAGAGGAGGGAAATGGAAAAGCTCAAGAGTTACAATCTCTATCTGGATTTAGAAAAATGGGAGGAAACATATTTAGACCCTCTATTTGCTTATTCCCCCTTGACCATTGTTCAGAACACTTGCTTTCAGTGCTCTCTTCCAACACTTTGAGGAACATACTGTGTTTCCCCAAAAATAAGACAGGGTCTTGTATTAATTTTTGCTCCAAAAATGCATTAGGGATTATTTTCAGGGGATGTTTTATTTTTTCATATACAACTATCTACATGTATTCAAATACAGTCATGTCATCTTCTTCTGGTTGCTGCACAATGGTGGAGGGTGGGGTTTCACTTAACTGGGGCTTATTTTGGGGGTAGGGCTTATATTATGAGCATACTGAAAAATCAGACTAGGGCTTATTTTCAGGTTAAGTCTTATTTTCGGGAAAACAGGGTAGTCTTCCCAAAACAGCTTTCAACATTGAAAATAGTGAAATAAACATGTAAATAAAATAATATTAAATTGATTTTTTTAAACCGCCGCGGAAGGTGAGGCTGCAGCCCGTCCGGGCAGGGAGGAGGCTCCCCCGGGAGACGGGCGGGCGGGGAGCGGAGCCAAAGGGGGACGCTGGCAACCGAGGGGCGCCGACCCGGGTCGCCCCGGCCCGTTCTCACGTGCACGGCTGGGTTTCGGGCGGAGGGGGGAAGAGAAGACGCGTGACGGCCCTGCACGTGTGCACCAGCCCCGCCGGCTTGCACGGGCGCCCGTCCCCCGGGCATTCCCCCTGCAGAAGAAGGCCGGCTTGCAC